AGGAAGACGTGGAGGAAAATGTCTTTCCAAGGTGCCAGGGGCTAGGTATTCTGAGCTCAAGAGAAGATGGGCTGCCATGTAATAACAACCTAACATCCAGCAACAACTTAACCTCGGTCATCTTATTAAACCAATCATGCCAATTTGGCTTGTATTGGTCTTATAATTTAGTGTGGATTTTAATATATGTTTTGAATTGCCCAAAGGGGTTTAAGGAGTATGTACATATTTAAACAACAATAAAATCATCTAAGTCAATATGGGATTCTAAGGATCTGAGATATATTTTCCTCTTAAAGGGGTGGATACAGTTCTTCAATCTAGGACAGGTGGCTCTCCAGGGCCCCTCACCACTCCCCACATAGTGAAAACACCCCTCTAGTAGCTGGTGGCTCATGTAACTCTCTTTATTCAGTAAAGACAGCCATCCTAACTACTGGATTTACTTTTCTCTAAGACTATACACGTGGCAAATCCACCAAACCTCAGTTAATGATTACATGAATTCACATAAACAGGGCCCACTGCATCTCTGGAAATATAACCACCAAATCCTAAAGTGAGTAAACACTTACTTTACAAACATGTCTGTCAGGAGGGTGGCCAGGTCCTTTCAAGAATTACCTTACGTCCCTACTGTACCACCTATGAATTCTGGGCTTTGAGCAAGCCACTCAACTTCTTTTGCCTTCAGTTTTAATAGTTAAATAAGACAACTCCTATAGAAAAACTGGACTCTATAAGTGGACAATCACATACTAGGTCATGTATTAACACATGAAATTCAAATGCAGCAAGACTCTGTGTGAGGGCTGTGACAGGATGAGTAGTTGGGTCACGAAACCAAGTGCCAGCCGCACATATGTGCACCGCTGAGCCTTCAAGAAACAGAAAGATTACAGATACAAAGACTCTGACTCCAAAAAACTAAGTCCAGTGGGAAAGACGAAGGAATTAAAATTCTGGACAGAATGAAGTAAGAGCTATAAAAGGGATACAAACCAGGAATCTGTGTTTCCTTTTATATCATTTTTGCAGAATCCATGCTGTATTTTCTATATCATCACAATTTTAGTAATTGTGCTACCTTTTTTAAATGAAAACATCAAATATTTTTCATTAAATGCAAGATTTTTTAAAATTAATTTTTATTAAAATTCTTTTATAATGAGATATTTATCACAGACAAGTATCTTGAGAACATTCAGATAATTTGGGGTAAGACCCTAAAAATAACTATTTGAGCCTCACTTATGGTCTCTTTAATAAGAACAAAAGTGGCAAATGTAAACATACTCTAATATTTTAATCTTCTGGCCAGGTATGAGTATGAGTATGAGTGTGTGTGTGTGTGTGTGTGTGTGTGTTGTGTGTGTGTGAGAGAGAGAGAGAGAGAGACAGAGAGAGAGAGAAATTAACACTCTCTCTTAAACTTCACTGACACAGGAAATCCTAATCTTTACAGTTGAAGGCTTATGTGCCCTAAATTGTCTGTCAGTCCTTTTCTGAGACTCCTATTCATCCCTCAAGATCCAATTTAAATGTAACTACTCAATTTCCCCAAATACTCTTCTGGACACCCAAGACACCCCTGCATTTCTCTAATATTGTGCATTTCACATTGTACTGAACTACTTATAATCCTATCAGGTTTTAAGATATTTGTTGCAGTATTATGCACTTAGAACATAATAGGTACAAATGTTTGTGAAAAAATTAGCAAATGAGTGAATGAATGACTAACATATGATAAAATAATCTAATTCCACCTCCGAACTAGAATTATTCAGGTTTCCTCAAACCGCACACTATGATACACAGAAATATGCTTTTTCCAACTTCCACCTTCTAATAGGAAACTAGAATCCTAGATGTACATTATTCTGAAGCAATATCATCCCATTCACTTCTGACCTTTTAAATCCATTCCCATAAACTTGAAAACAAAAGAACTACATATATAAAAAGAGAAACAATCCCAATTTCCAAGATATATTTTTAATTAATTTCTGCTACATTTACACATTCATTTACTTTATACAAGTGTCTGCTATTTTTTCAAATCTCTTTACCTTCTTTAATAAGGTTAACTTCTTTTCAAAGTTTCCTTGATATTTAGAAATAAAAACTCCACTTTAGTTAACTGAGCTTTACACAACTTCACAATTTTTAGTTTAATGTAGAATCATTGCCTATTTCTTTCCTTTCCTTCTCTGAATCTTATCACAATGAAATGAGCTATCTGGGTCATTCCTCATTCCCAAGAGTTATGACCACAAGGCCAATAGACAATGTGGTCCCTGGCCATAGAGAAGCATTGCTGTCACCCTCTCTCTACCCTTTACCTGCATCAGGTACAGACCCTGGAAAAACAACCTGGCTGTCCAGGCAGTTTTCCTCCCAGCTCTGTGTGTAGGAGGGAAAGGAGCTCACTACACGAACATTTCATGTGCACAGAAAACATCGCAGGTCAGACTCATGAGTGAACCTGAAAAAGCCAAACCATAAACTCTTGAGATGCAGAGTAGGAAGAGACTTTCCAAACAGCTAAGTCATGTTTTTTGTTTTATATATGAGAGTGAGGGCCAGCACCTATCTAGTGGCACAGACAGAATAAGAGCCCAGGTCTCCTGATCTCTGTTCCCGTGCTCCCATCACTACATTTTCTTTGTCTCCAGGCTCAGCCATATCCCCCTGGGGCTGGACACATTATCACCTCTGATCCAGCATGGCAATGGAAGATAGCAATTCTTCCTTCCAGCAGAGTACTAAGTACACACTAGCCACACAATGAGGTCCACACCATATGGTGAATGAAGCATAAAAAGAATCACAATGTTTCATTCATTTCAATCCAATATTCATATATTGAGCACCTTATCATGTACAAGGGCCATAGCTATGTTTAGGCAACATTAGGGAATACAGAAATACAATTAACACTGGATATCATACTGTACTTGAGTGGCCATGGAAATATAAACAGTGGTACAGAGGAAAACACCAGAACTGCTAACCAGAATAACTGGGGTTCAAGTTAGAGGTGTAGTGAAGGTTTTTATAAAAGAGGCAATATTTTCATTGAATCTTAAAGAATGCAGCTTCATCAGATAGAGCAGAGAAAGACATGCCAGAGAAAGGAGTTAACCACACATACAAATTAGAACAGTAAGTGGAAAACTCAAAATACATGGGGAAAGAGGGCAAGAGATGGGACTAGCATAGTGTTTGTGATAATATTGATGGTATCGCTACAGAATGTGGGGACTGGCCTTTAAAGGCAAGCATTGGAAGGGGTCTGAGCTGAGAAGGACATTCATCTCTGGGTTTTGGAGGTAATTCTCCCATTCCTGGTGAGAATGAACTAGAGATGAAAGTGATAGAATGCACAGAAGCCATTTAAGATACTTTTCCACAAAGGAAAATCACTGTATGGAAAAGTATTCCTTGTCACACTTTCCTTCAAGCCTGGAGACACACATGAGAAGGTATGCATTTCTCAAACACGGAAGAAGAGCTTTTTTTTCTTTTTCTTTTTTGAGATGGACCCCTTTGCTGTGATAAGGATTGTCAACTAGTCCTATGGCTGTGGAGTAGTGGAGGTGAGAAGTCCATTCTTATCCCTGCTCAGGGGTTCCAGAGCTCTAAACAAAGCAGCTAGAAGTCACAGGAAACCTAGTTCAATGGGATTCTCCAACTTTCTGCCTCTGGCCACCTTTTCAGATACTCCAGTCCCTGGTATTCACTGAGCCCTCGCTCAGTCCCCAGTCTGTGCTACAGAGGGAGCCACACAGGCAGGAGGGCAGCTGACTGAGAGGAGAGGAAGCCACCCATAGAATCCAGAAGGAGAGACAAGGCTGAGCCCAGACAACAAATGGGAGGCTCCTGTGCTGAACACAAAGTTCCATCTGTTTCTTGTCAAACAGCAAACCGCAGGGGGTGTCACACAGCCATTTCATCTGAAAGATGAGTCATCTCTCTAAGGGGAAAGGGCTCTGACAAGGTATGCAAGGTGGTCGGTTCCCGGAGCAGGGGATAAATAGTCCAGACTCTATTTGTGTTGACTCAGTCACTGCATCCTTAAAAAATGTTTACCTTAATTCATGTTTTATAAACTAACACCTATGAACTATATCTTATACTTATAATCTATAATAATAAAAGTGTAATATGATAATTAGACCAGACAGCCAAACCACCTTCCAGACAACCTTCTGGACGAAGTAGGAGCAGCCACTGTGGCTGCCAGGGCCGAGCCCCTTGCGTAAATTTCATGCATCTGGCCTCTAATTTTGAAATAATTTAATATGCATTATTGAAATCCATACACAAAAACATTTTTGGTGGTGGTACATGATTTGAAAAGTTTGGAGATCATTGTGACAAACCATAGTCTCTGCCATCCAATGAAGAGGTCAGATTGCATCCTACACACAAAAAGCATTAGATTGAGTTCAACTGTGACTGACTTAAATTCACATTATATGCCTAAAGGTGAAAAAAAATTGAGGGAGGGACATTTTTTCACACATAAATTTTTATGTATTTGATATGAAAATGGTTTGGCATATGATAAAACATTTCTTAGAAACTTTGGTCTACTGAAGACCCAGGGATAATATCTATTAATAAAAACAATATGATTTGCCCCCAAAAAGTGAAAGAGTTCACACTCTCCTTCCCAACAGACTCGGTTTTCTCTAGGCCAGTGGTTGGCAAACTCATTAGTCAACAGAGCCAAATATCAACAGTACAACGATTGAAATTTCTTTTGAGAGCCAAAATTTTTAAAATTAAACTTCTTCTAATACCACTTCTTCAAAATAGACTCACCCAGGCCGTGGTATTTTGTGGAAGAGCCACACTCAAGGGGCCAAAGAGCCACATGTGGCTCGCAAGCTGCTGTTTGCCAACCACGGCTCTAGGCTATTACAACCTAGAGAAAGTGCATTCAAGCCATTGTGAGACATAAAGGTTGTGAAGCCTCTCACAATACTTACTGATCCGTACAGCTCCCCCTTCTCATTCATGCCGAGGTAGAGTCCACTGTCCACGCCTCGAATGCTGACAAGGCCCACGGCTATACTGATAAATTCCAGAATGCCTACAAGACAATAGGGAGAAGGTGAAGGGCAGGTCAAGTATAGAGCACTGCCCTGAGTCTCAGCATCACTAGAAGTTTCAAAGAGGACTGAGGTGAGCTCCCAGTTGGGATAATCTCACACTCATCAAGAAAGTGTCTTTTAGAACCACTGCCAAAAAGAATTGACTTTTATAATAATGATACAAAAATACTTATCAACGTGACACATAACATTTTGATATGTACATAAATATGCTGAGAAGTGATAGGACATAACTAGTGTACATATTCTAATTAATCTAAAAGAATATAATTGGAGAGAAAAATATTCAGTTTTACTCCCACTTGATAAATGTGAAATTATATATTTGTGTGTTGGCATAGGTTAAAAAAAATTCTATTCAGAGAATGGTCTTATGTCCCTCAAAATAAAGAGTATGAGGTGCTAAGTTGATTGGTTTATACAGAATGTTATCCCCTCTCTACTGTATAGAGAGCTCCATCTGGGACAATAAAATAGCCTACTCATATCTCAAATATTTTTGCTTAAACAAAGTATCTATTATTGCTTTAGTTATCTATGCCTCATAGGGATACTTAAGCAATAAAGATAACACAATATTCTGGAAAAAAAATGCAGAATCCAAAAATATTCTTGATTTTAAATAATCATGGAATATTATATCCCCAAAACAAATCAACATAATTACCTTTTATTTCCTTCTTTCTGCTTACTTACCTCACTAAGAATAACTACCTATTCTGGACATAAATCCAGGATTTTATAGTTATACAACATCAGCTTCAATGTCTCTTAACTATATTGTTGTTTAAATATGATTACCCAACAGGACATTTGGGACAATGCTAATATTACTCATGCTTAACCATGTTTTCAATTTAATAATAATAAAAGTATAATATGCTAGTTAGACCAGACAGCCACACCACCTTCTGGACTAAGCCAGGGCTGCGAGGGCCGAGCCCCCTTGCATGAATTTTGGTGCATCAGGCCTCTAAGTTTTGTGACAAAGTACTAGACTTTATAAAAACCTTGCATTAATGTATACCAAATATTCAGTTGTTTTCTAAAAAACGCTTCAACTATTGAAAAACTTACATCTTAGAATAACACTGGCCTATAGTTAGTCTCATGTGACTGATAAAAAATAAATTATATGGGTTTTTAAATAATTAATTTTTCAGCTCTCACAAAACAGACTGTGTTACAATGAAAGGAAGACATGACAGCCTGGTAATGTGGCTCAGAGGTTGAGCAATCACCTATGAACCAGGAGGTCATTTGCAGGCTCAGTTCCTAGTGTGGGGCATGCAGGAGGCAACCAATCAATGATTCTTTCTCATCATTGATGTTTCTATCTCTTTCTCCCTCTTCTTTCCTCTCTGAAATCAATAAAAATGTGTATTTTTTTAAAAACCACAAAGAAGACATGACAAATACATAGTGATGAAGGGAGAGAAGACTTTGGATGGGGGTACACAGTGGAGTATATGGATGACCTTATAAATTGTAGAGCTAAAAGTTATAGAAAGCTATTAATCAACATCACTCCCAATAAATTTAATTTTAAAACAAAATACATGGAGGAGACAAAATGGCAGCAGAAGAGGCAGACGTGTCCTGAGCCTTGTCCCGGAGTGGATAGAAGGAGCAACTAAATCAAATAACATCCACCCCAAATTGGCAAAGGAGACACAGCTGGTGAGACAATTCGCAGCTGGGAAGGGCAAAGGATACCTGGAGATGGTAAAATCGGGGATCTGGGCTGGAGAGAGCTGCGAGACCTCTGAGCCCGAGGGTCAGAGGGAAACTGCACAGCACCAATGCTGTGTCCCGTGGGACAGGCATAACATCTCATTGTGGAAGCGAAGTCCACAGGGCTGGGTGATAGGAAATTATAGATCTAAGCCCACAGCCATGAAGGGACAGCCTGAACAACTGCCCAAGCCACGCTGGGCCAGAGGGAGAGGGGCTCGCAGGGGCGCAGCTCTTTCCCCTCTTTGGTCTTTGCTTTTCGCTAAACCCAGTTCATAGGACCTTACAAATATAAACACCCACGGCCGGGGTGCAGACCTGTAGAGTCTGAGGAGAGGAGCAGCTTGGGGAGAGGTGGCTGTGAGTCTGGCACTGGGACATACCTGACTAGTGGGACCTGGGCACCCATTTTCTCCTGAAGAGATAGCACTTCTTTGCAGTCTCCAGGCAAACAAAACCGCCACACCCAGACTACACCCCGAGTGGTACAAAGGATACAAAAAAATTTTTAAATAGTCCCTGAGAGACGTAGACTGGCCTGAAGATAGGTTATTTAGTCCCCAAACGCCATAAGGCAATCTCCCAACTATAGCCCTGTCAGAAACAGCCGCTTGAGAGCTTGAAAGATTAAGGCTGAGTGGGAAGATGGGTCCCGCCTGCTGGCAGTCAAGGCTGTGGAGACAGACACAAACAGAGGAGCAAGTGGACTACTTGGAACTTCAACAATCTAACAGGGATCTGAGAAGTGGCAGACAGTACAGAAGAGTAGGATTTAAACCGGCCCCCATGGGACATAACACTCAGCAGAAAGCAATGACACCTCACTTTTTAATTTTAATTTTACTTAATTTTATTTTATTATTACTTCGTTGTCTTTTACCTTTTTCTATATTTATTTTTTTATATTTATTTTTTCATCATTCTATTTCTATTTTTTCTTTTTTTAATGGGCTAAATGTATTTATCTTTTTAAAATTTCTTTATTGATTAAGGTATTACATATTTGTCATTACCCCCCCATTACCTTCCCAAACCATCCCCTACCCCACTCATGCCCTCACCCCCCTGGTGTCTGGTGTCTGTGTCCACTAGTTAGGCTTATATACATGCATACAAGTCCTTTGCTTGATTTTTTCCCCCTTATTCCCCACCTTCTCCTACCTTCCCTCTAAGGTTTAACAGTTTGATGGATGCTTCACTGTCTCTGGATCTGTTTTTGATCATTAGTTTATGTTGTTCATTATTTCCCATAGATGAGTGAGATCATGTGACATTTATCTTTCTCTGACTTATTCCACTTACCATAATGCTCTCCAGTTCCATCTATTATATGTTGCTGCAAATGGTAGGAACTCCTTTTTTAGCACAGCATAGTATGCCATTGTGTAGATACACCCGAGTTTTCTAATCCATTCATCTGCTGGTGGGCGCTTAGGCTGTTTCTAAAACTTAGCTATGGTGAGTTGTGCTGCTATGAACATAGGGGTGCTTATGTAATTGTGCTTCTAGGAACACAAGGGTGCATATATTCTTTCTGATTGATGTTTCTAGTTTCTTGGGATATATTCCTAGAAGTGGAATCACTGGCTCAAATGGGAGCTCCAGTTTTAGTTTTTGGAGGAAACTCCATACTGCTCTCCACAGTGGCTGCACCAGTCTTCATTACCACCAGCAGTGCACAAGGGTTCCTTTTTCTCTGCATCCTCACCATCACTTGTCTTATGTTTATTTGTTGATGACAGCCATTCTGACAGGTGTGAGATGGTACTACATTGTAGAATTGCATCTCTCAGATAATTAGTGACTTTGAGCCTGCTTACATATGTTTCTTGGCCTTCCTTCTGTCTTCTTTTGAAAAGTGCCTATTTAGGTCTGTTGCCCATTTTTTTATTGGATTGTTTTTATTGGATTGTTTATCTTCCTTTTGTTAAGTTGTATGAGTTCCCTGTAGATGTTGGAGATTAAACTCTTATTGGTGATAACATTGGCAAATAGGTTCTTCCATGCAGTGGGCTTTCTTGTTGTTTTGTTGATGGTTTCTTTTGCTGTAAAAAGCTTTTTATTTTGATGCAGTCCCATTTGTTTATTTTCTCTTTAGCTTCCATTGCCCTAGGAGCAGTATCAGTGAAGAAGTTCCTTCGGCATATGTCTGAGATTTTGCTGCCCATGGATACCTCTAGGATTTTTATGGTTTCCCATCTTATGTTTAAGTCCGTTATCCATTTTGAGTTTATTTTTGTGTATGGTGTAAGTTGGTGGTCTAGTTTCATTTTTTTGCAAGTATCTGTCCAATTTTCCCAACGCCATTTATTGAAGAGACTGTCTTTACTCCATTGTATGTTCATGCCTCCTTAGTCAAATATTAATTGGGCCTAGTGGTTTGGGTCTATTTCTGGGATCTCTATTCTATTCCATTGATCTATATGTCTATTCCTATAACAGTGCAATCTGTTTTGAGAACAGTGGCTTTCTAATACAGCTTGATATCTAGTATTAAGAACCCTCCTACTTTGTTCTTTTTTCTCAGGATTGCTGCAACTATTCAGGGTCTTTTTTATTCCAGATGAATTTTTGGAGAGTTCATTCTATATGCCATTAGTATTTTAATAGGGGTTGCATTGAATCTATAGATTGCTTTGGGTAGTATGGACATTTTAATGACATTGATTCTACCAGTCCATGAACATGGTATGCTCTTCCATCTATTTATATTTATGTCTTCCTCTATCTCTCTCTCTCTCTTTTTTTTTTTTGTGTGTCCTGTAGTTTTTTGCATATAGTCTTTTACCTCCTTAGTTAAGTTTATTCCTAGGTATCTTTATTTTTTTGGTGTGATGGTAAATGGGATTGCTTTTTTAGTCTCTCTTTCTGTAAGTTCACTATTGTTGTATAGAAATGCCATAGATTTCTTGGCATTAATTTTGTATCCTGCTATATTGTCGAATTCATTTATTAAGTCTAATAGTTTTTTGATGGCGTCTTTAGGGTTTTTTATGTACAATATCATGTCTCGAATAAAGACAGTTTTACTTCTTTTCCAATTTGGATACCTTTTATTTCTTCTTGTTGTCTAATCACAATGGCTAATACTTCCAGTACTATGTTGAACAGGAGTGGTGAGAGTGGGCATCCCTGTCTTGTTCCTGTTCTTAGGGGAAATGGTTTTAGTTTTGCCTATTTCTATTTTTATTTTATTTTATTTAATCCTATTTATAACTAATTTGTTTTTTTCTTCTTTCTTTCT